CCGCCCCATGTCCTGAGACCAAAGAGCCAACAACAGATTTCTAAAGGGAGCAATCAGGCTTAAAGCCACAACACGGCCAGGTTCTTTCTAAAGGTGGGGGGAGAGAAAGCCTGAAAAGAAGCTTCTGGCTCACAGATTCCACTTTTAGGAGCAGCGTGGGACCCAAAAGAAATGAAAACACAGAAAGGGGAAACCGAGGTCAGAGGAAGTTCCCAGCAGCTGAAGGTCAACAGGGAGGTTTGCTGAAGCCCAACTGCTCTTGCACAGAACCAACAAGGGCCTCCCCTTCAAGCCTTTGGCCGACGACTCCGGTTGTTAACACGTCTGTGGCATTCGCCTCTATGGGGGTGGGGGGGTGGGCACCAGGGTGCTCGCTGTCACCTGGGTGACCTCATGTCCTGCCAGGTCTCAGGCTCCTCCGCTTTGACCACGGAGGGCTTCGTCTGCCTCCAGGCACAACCTGATTGCGCAGGATGGGAAGCCCAACCGTTCCCATCCACGCCACCTCCCTGGCCTTTTCTGCCAGGCGGGTTCGCCTTTCAGGCCAAGCACCTCCGTCCTTTCAAGAGACTGGACCCACTCTCCCTTCTCACACCACCCTCTCCCTGATTGCCCCCCCCCAAATGGCCTCAGGACTCCTGTTTCACGGCTCTGTCCTGTGTGCTCTCCAAGAGCCCCTCGTGTGTGGCCCGTTTGACTGGGGTCTGCCGCCCAGGAAGCGACTCTCCTCCCTAGCATGTACACAGACAACGGCTATAACACCTGCTAATGAACAAGCAACACAAAAAGGATACAGGGTCAGCCGTCGTCCTGTGCAGCTTTTGAAGCCCAAGAGCTGACACACACACACACAAACACACACACACAGCCTTTTCTCTGGACAGCAGCAAGGAGACAGAAGAGGTTGGCCAGTGCCACATGGGTCTGGCGTGGTTCTGTTGGCGGTGCTCATCTGGGTTCAGACTTCAACCAGTGGGGTTTGGGAGAAGGACCTAGCAAGCCCGTCATGTGTGAGAAGGGCAGGCTGCACGGCTTGCTTCCACCTTGAGAAGCGCCCGCTCAGCGGTGTGGCTCTTCAAGAGGGAGCCCTTTGCTCTCTGAGGAACCAGCAGCTTGAAGGGCTCCTTTCAGGCAAAGGCTGGCCTTGAGGAGCTAGAGGCCTTCCTGCTGCTTCCTTCAATACTCCTCTGACTCCCATAGCAAAAAGAGGAGACCGAATGGGAGGGAGGAAACCCCTTCAAGAAAGCGGACTTGAAAAAGATGCAGGCAGCAGCCCCACTTAGCCTCACTCCCATTCTTCAAAATGCAAAACAACTGCCTACCACGCCCCCTGAAGTAGAGGGCAACTTCAGTTGCCAGAAAACTCAGAAGACACAACAAGGATTCAAGAGGCAGATCCACCACGAAAGAGAGGGTGGGAGCCTTCTGGGCTGAGCTGGGATGAAAGGTGGTAATTCTAAGTACTGTCATTATCAATACTTACGAGACTTTTCAGGAAGCAACCAGTAGTTGAGAAGTTACATTTTGGATGTGAGCAACAACACAATCCAAACGGAGACCCTCAGCCAAGAAATTGGAAGACGAGGAAGTCTCAGAAGGGCAGCAATGAAGGAATCAGAAAAGATCCTAAACTGTAAGGATATCTCCGCAGAGACCTAGACCACCCACACTCTTATATCCTCGATCACCATGTATGGGTATGAAAGCTGGAGCAGCACAAAGAACACAGACAGGGAAAAGTGGATTCGTTCGAGATGTGGGGCTGGAGGAGAGCTCCATGGATACCCTTGACTGCCAGGAAGACAAACAAGTGAGTCCTACCTAGAGCGAATCAAGGCTAAACTATGAGGAGACTGAGGCTGTCCTACTTTGGGCACATCCTGGCAAGGCAGGAGTCTCTGGAAAAGACCATTATGCTCAGCAAGTCTGAAAGAGGCAGGAAAAGAGGAAGACCATATAGGGGATAGACTGACTCCCTAAAGGAAACCACAGGCTTGTCTCTGCAAGAGCCGAGCAGGGACGTTGAGGACGGGGACATTTTGGAGAGAGGTCTCTCCTTCACAGGCTCACCATGAGCTCGAGGTGACTTGACGGCAAAGAATAACAACACATGCTACATAAATAGGAGCAACCTCTACTTCCAAATATTATTTTTAAAAGGCATTTTAAAACATTTATTCCATTCTCTTATGAGTTCTGCGTGGCAAATGACATCTTCTTTTGGCTTTAGCTTTTTTAATAAATATTTCCAAGGTGCAGCATCCTAATTGGCCACTAGAGGAGACTAGAGTGCATTCCCTGCATTTCTGTGGTCTGGTGACAACACATCATAGTACAGTGGTGCCTTGCAAGACAAATGTAATTCGTTCCGCAAGTAGCACTGTCTTGTGAAAAGTGGAACCTCGTAAGATGAAAATAATTCATTCGTTTTGCAAGGCATTGGTCTTGCAAAAAACATTCGTCTTGGGAAGCACAGCCATAGAAGAAACCATCTTGCGAGGCACCACAGCGATCGCAAAAAACATTTATCTTGCGGGTTTTTCATCTCGCGAGGTGTTCGTCTTGCAAGGCACCACTGTACAGTCATACCTCCGTATACGAATTTAATGCTTTCTCCGGGAAGTTTTGTAATGCGAAAAATTCGCAAACTGAAACACGGTTTCTCATGGGAACGCATGCACGGGGGTGGCACTATAAACCTCACAGGAGCAATGCAAACTTGCTTCGCATTGTGGAAAAAATTCACAAACTGAGGCATTATTTTCAATGGATTTTCATTTGTAAACCAAAAACTACATTAACCGAGGCGTTCATAAACCAAGATACAACTGTAATATCTCACTGAACAACGGCACATGATAACCTTGCATCATGCAATGGATTACTTCCACAATGGGGACCACAGCGACCATGAAACCTGGCTGCAGAGAAGCTCTGAGCAAGGAAAGCGATTCCTTTTGAATTAAAGGACCCATGGAAGGATAAAGCAACATCAGACCATCCATCAGAGAAACGGAGGTGGGAAGGAAGAGGGGAAATTGGCAGCCAAGAGAGAGAGCAAGAGCCCCAAGCACCTCTGACCAAACGAAGGGGTTGGCTGGCTTGCCAGAGCACCGCCACTGAGCCATGGGGATGGACTCTATCCCGCAGGCCAGGCTGAGGGGAAGAAAGGCTTCCACTGGTTTCAAGTTCAGGCCAAAAGCGTACTTCCCATCTTCGCTTCCACTGCTGTAAGGTCACAGCAGGCGCATGGCATTCCAAGGTTTGCTCTCTTTTCAGTGATCTGCAGGAGCAACAAAGAAATAGAAAGGAAACCCCAGAAGGGACTGTTCTTCAAGGCATAAGGGGCTCGGGCACAAACATCACAAGGCTGTATTGAGTGCTGCATCCAAAGAGGAGACCCAAGACTAACCTCAGCTTATAAACCTCTGCACTGCTGCCTTCCCGCCACATGGGATTGTGGTGTGGAGACAGCCCTGCCTGCGATACCGCACTCTCTGGGACAGTCAACTCTCTTCTGGACTGATGCTGAAAAGCCACTGCTAGAAATCACACCTGCTGCTCTGAGCAGGGCTGAGACGCTCGCATCGTTCCCCCCACCTCCAGCTCCCAAGGTAAAGGTCTCTGCAGTCCCTTAGCTTAATGCCTGTCAGCGACTGTGGGAAAGGCGCTGCATGAACTTTCCTTGATACGTATCTCTGTGCTGCACAATTTAAAATTAGGGACGTATGTGAAACATAGGTATAATTAAGACAAATTAAAATGCACCTCATGTTTTAGAAAGCCTAACCAATTCACCCTTTCAAGCCAAGGAAAGCTTGATTTAATAAAGCCTAAGAATTTTTGCATACCACTCTGGTTCAGAAAGAGGCCTAAAAGCCACTTTCAAAACAAGCAGCTGCTTTGGGTTCTTTCTAAGGAGGGACGGGGAGAGGAACAGAGAAAGAGATAAAGAAAGAGGGAGGGAGGGAGGGAGGAAGGGGGGGAGGAAGGAAGGCAGGAAACCCTTTGGGAATCAGGACAATGCTCAGACCTCCTGACGTCAGTAATGAGTGCAAGCCTGGGCCTGGCTGAGGGCACAATGGACCAACCGCCTTTCTTACACTGGACTGGAGACCAAGCCAAGGTGGCCACGGAAGATACACAGAAGACCTGCTGTATTGTATCAGTTCCTTCCTGGGTAAAGAGGAAGGTGATCTAGTTTTTCCTCCTGGTTCTGCCAAAAAAGAGGGGGGGGGGCATGGCAGGAGAATGACATTTGCTGCTCTAGCTGACCAGCTTGAGTTGCTTGTACTGGTTGCTACGATACATCTAACAACCCCCCCCCAAAAAAAAAGAAGAGGGGAAGCCTTTCTAGCCTTCCACAGCCTGGTCTCAACAAACATGACAGCATGCATTTTCTTGCATGACTTTCTCCGGTGCTTAGTGGAAGCTCCATTTTAGATGCCTCACCTTTCAGAGCACTGACCCAAAATTGCTTTGGCTTGGCATCTCTCTTTCTCTCTCTTTCAGGCTTTTTCACCTTTACAAAGAAAGCAGCTAAAGGCCTGTCTGCCTGCCTGTTACTGCAGCGCTCTCCAGAGCTGGTACTTTTCCTGCTAGATATCATTATGGTGTCTCATT